TATATATATATATATATATATATATATATATATATATGTGTTGGGTAACACTCGACGTCTTATTTATAAAATCATTTTTAAATTTTGAATCTTCTACCTTATATAATTAGATGGTCTACTTAAGATCCTACAATTCTCTTTATTCAATTTCAATTTGATATACAACCCTAACGTCAAATTCTGCTAAAATCTTTCGCCAGCTCATCTTAAATCTTAAATTGGTTTATTTCAATCGCTTTTACCACCTGTTGTCTCTCAGTCAACACCTGTTGGACTGTGCTACCTTTGCACTTGGGGTTGAAATCTAATTTATGCAGCTATAAATAGTAGAGCTAAGTTAATTTGTGTCTTGGTCCAGCACAGGACGAACTGCGCAGCTGCTAGCAGGGTTGTCAGTCCTTTAGTTCATGCAGAGTTTCCTTTCACATTTTCCTAACTGTTTCAGTCGCTTCCTAGCCTCCGTCTCTCTCGCACAGCTTGTCAACTCTGCGCAGCAACAGTTTCCCTGGCTTGTTTGCTGATAGCAGTTGCATTCATTATCCTTGCCTGCCTGAGCATGTCCGTCAGCAAATCGAGCTCCACGTCGCAGTTATTATCAACTGCCACGCCCACCAAGTTCCGCCTGCGTTTCCTGTGCCTGTGCGGTCTGCTCATCTCAATATATACGCTATATGTGAAAGTCCAGCTGGACCACGATGCCAACTACAAGGCCATGTGCGACTTGGCCGAGCAAGTGAGCTGCACAGCAGTCTTCAAGTCCGAGTGAGTGTCCTTTGAGCAAGCTTGTGGTTAGCCCTTGACTTCATCCTCTTCCAGCTTTGGTCGTGGCTTCGGCTTGACGCGGCTTGTATTTGATGCCAACTCAACTCACTTGCATCCCTCCAATGGCTCCATTGGCATTGCCTTCTACACGCTGCTCTTTGCGTCCTGTGAGTGCCTCCGAATGGGGACTGCAGCTCCATGTATTATTTTTATTTTATTCTGCTTCCCATTTCAGCCTTCTTTGAGAGGCGGTGGCTCTGCCAACTGCAGCTGCTTTTCGCAGTCCTGACTCTGATCCTCTGCGTCTACCTGGGCGGACTGCTGCTGCTCGTTCTCAACGATTGCTGTGTGGTCTGTGTGCTCATCTATGGCATTCACGTGCTGCTCCTCACGGAAGTGTACGGACGCTATAAACGCCTGTATCTAATCAAAAGATCCATCGAATAAATTTACTTACATCTTTAATTTACAATCTTTAATTTAAACCATTTTAATTTGTTTTTTCAAATTATTAGAAAAACTAATGTTTTTTGATCTATGAATGAATTTTCACGATTTGCGAAACTATTATCCAGGCATTTTATTTATTTTCCAAGTATTAACAAAACATTTTAAAGATAATTTTATTATTTTGATTTGGTATCTACTTAACAAAAAAAAAAACAACAAAATAGCGGAACTTAACAAACAAACAAAACTGTATAATTTTTTATTCAGTGCCTAACATTTGAAAAAGAAGCCTAAACATTGTTAATAGCAAAATATAGAAAAAATATATTTAAATATGATGAGTTTCCTAAGTTTTTCAATATTTAAGTGTGGAGGAATTCAGTTTCCCTCACTTTACAACACTGCTTGTAATCTGCGCAACAGTTAAGCATTCAATTTGTGCAGTCGCTAACTTATGTGGGTCACCGGGGGGTTAAGCTGCCGACAGGGACGTGCTACTACAGGCCAACAAGTACGAGGTCCGAATGCCCCGACTGTTACCTTCTGTTTTAGTAGCTCTTTGGCTGGTCTTTGTCTACAAATCGCTCACTTTTGACCCATACTCCACCCGGCACGTCTGCACATTTGCGACTCGACGCGGAGGTGGATCTCTCCCAGCACGTAGTTGAGCAATTAATTTTGCAGTTGGCCTCTGTCTCGTTGCCTTGCTGCCTCACTGTCTGTGGGTGTGTGTATGTGTGTGCGTGGGTTGCTGCAGCTCGAATCCGGCTCAGTTGAAATGATTTTCTTGGTAGTAGGTGAGAATTGAACACAATTAATTTGACATAAATTGAAAAACCTGGATGGGCCGCAATGAATGGATCAATTAAGGCATCGTTTGTTGATGTACTATGGATGTGTTACGTTAACGTGTCGTTATAATTTGTAGATAGAGCGTATAGTACTATATACATAAGTACTATAAGTCCATACTTAAGATTGTATCCCATTGATATCAATGCATGTATCGATAATTTAATGATTGATGTACACTGACGATTTGACGTAGTAGTAGTATACATATTTACTGCAAGGTTCCATGTCTTATTATATATGTAGATAGTGTTAAACAAGTCATTTACCAATAATTAATCGTTTGCTTTAGTAGTATTTGAATTATTACTCTAGTTAGTAATTCATTTAGAATTATTATCGCCTTCACAGCTCCTCAATTGTGTTTCTATACAAACTTGGAATATTTTATTCAAATGAAAAACTTACCAATCATTTTAATGTCAATCGTCTTTCCAAATTTAATTTGAAGATTTTCATTAGCCTAATCTCTTTATATACATATGTAGATTGATTGATTTGAAGTATTGGCGTTAATATATATTAAATACATGAGCATCTGCATTTGATCTATGATCTAGTTTCGACATCTGATACCTTTCAGGTACACTGCTTATTGCAATCTTTATCCCTAGCAATCAATCAGTGGTAACCTCCAAAATATTCATATATCATTCTCAAGCCATATCACATATGTATGTACATTCGCTTGACAGCTCGAATAAATCGTTTCGTATCGAGACGATCTTTTATTTTTGTCGGCCAGGCGTTAACAAATTGTTGCCTAGACTTATGCTAAAAGCCCATCAAACGCATTTCAATTGCGCCTTCATAAACGATCCGTCGCTTGCGATCGGTGCACACCATGTGTGCAGCCCTCTCCAGATCTCCTCATACTCCCAATTGGGGTCGCATGTGGCACGATCTTCTTCAATTTTGACAAGGCAAACAAAAACAGACTGAGCTGAAGCAAACATATAGAAAGAAAGAGAGGGAGAGACAGAGTGGGGGAGACAGAGATGGGGTAGTCTGGCTGTGTGGCAAACATGGCTGAAAGAAACATTCACCAAGCGACGGAGTAGACTACTTTGCGCCAACAACGGCAGCAGCAACAACAGCAACAACAATAAACACAATCACCCGCCAAATGATGTGCAGCTTGATGAAGAAGAAGAAGGCAAATCAGCCGCGTGGCAAACGAGGTGAAGCCCATCCGACAAACAATCGCAAGCTGGCAAACCAAACCATCTAAGCCAGAGCAGAGCGCGCTGATTGAGATTGAGATTTTTCTGGCAGGCGACGATAGAACAACAATAGAGAAGACCAATGCAACTGATCGACTAGCAGATGCCCTGTACACATGCACACATTAATATGTCAATGGATCATAAATATATCAATATACATGTCCATTTATCAATATATAACAATACATCAATATATCAATATAGCAAAATAAAGCACCAATAAATGCCTATATCAGTATATCAGTATATCAATATAGATAGCTTCCAATGAAGCAGACTGAATATCTATGTATTTCTTCAACTTACATAGTCAGACCTCTTTAGTAAGCCCCTAAACTAAGGCCATTTGGAAGGGGCACAGGGTATGCTGCAACTGCAACAATGCAGATCGGAAAATGTGACTGCAGCTGAGTTGGCGCTTTGAAGATGATCGTATGTGGCAGCTGTTGCGGTTGCCACACGTAGCAGCAAGCCAGCAACCAGATGAGCTGAGCGACATCAACTCATAAACGACTTTGTCCCTGCCTCAGTCTTTGTGTGTGCGTGTGTGTGTGTGTGTGTGTGTGTGCATCCTCGACTTTCAGTTTCGTTTGCTGCGATTGGAGAGCAGCGTTTCATATAAATACCTGCACTGGCTGCACATCGAGATCAGTCAGAATTTGGCGCTGCTTCGTGGCGCAAAAAAGTCAACCACCAAGCTCCCAGCAGCAACCGCACAAGCACAAGCACAAGCTCACAGTCGGAATATGTTCAAGTTATTTGGTGTACTGCTGTTAACAGCAACTGTGCTGGCACGCCCCGAGCCACCAGTGAACTCCTACTTGCCACCCTCGCCCGGCGATAGCTACGGCGCACCGGGTCAGGGCCAGGGCCAGGGACAGGGTGGCTTCGGCGGAAAACCGTCGGACAGCTATGGTGCTCCAGGCGCAGGCAATGGCAATGGTGGCGGACGTCCATCGAGCAGCTATGGCGCACCGGGTCAGGGACAGGGCAGGCCCTCGGATTCTTATGGCGCTCCTGGCGCAGGCAACGGCAATGGAGGCGGACGTCCTTCGAGCAGCTATGGTGCACCTGGACAGGGACAGGGCGGTTTGGGCGGTCGCCCTTCGAGCAGCTATGGAGTCCCGGGCTCTGGAAATGGCAACGGCAATGGACGCCCGTCAAGCAGCTATGGTGCTCCTGGCCAGGGACAAGGTGGCAAGCCATCTGATTCCTATGGTGCTCCTGGATTGGGCAACGGCAACGGTAATGGAAATGGACGTCCTTCAAGCAGCTACGGCGCTCCTGGTCAGGGTCAGGGTGGTTTCGGTGGCAAACCCTCTGATACATACGGTGCTCCTGGCGCAGGCAATGGCAATGGTAACGGACGTCCCTCAAGCAGCTATGGCGCTCCTGGCCAAGGCCAAGGCGGATTCGGTGGCAAGCCCTCGGACTCGTACGGTGCTCCAGGTGCTGGCAATGGCAATGGTGGTGGTCGTCCGTCGAGCAGCTACGGCGCACCTGGCCAGGGTCAAGGACAGGGCGGTTTCGGTGGCAGACCCTCCGACTCATATGGTCCGCCGGCATCAGGAGCTGGCTCAGCCGGTGCTGGTGGTCCCGGTGGTGCAGGTGGTGACTACGACAACGATGTAAGTAGCACTATGTTTGGCTCTGGGTTCTTACTTGGCTCCTTCCAAGCACACACGCATACACGAACAATGAGAAGCTCGCCTTCAATTGAATGCTTCCTTGTCCTCGCTGCACGCACTGAAAACTTGCACCGTTCTGATCTGCTTGCGCCTCTCCCTCTCTCTCTCTCATTTTCTGTCTCCCTTCTATTTCTCACTGATCTCTATCATGAACTATTCTCTGTCTCTCTCTCTCTCTCTCTCTCTTTCTCTCTCCACACGCTCTGTCACTATCTCGCGCTACCCCATAGGAGCCCGCTAAATACGAATTTAATTACCAAGTTGAGGACCCTCCAAGTGGTCTCTCCTTTGGTCATTCAGAGATGCGCGACGGTGACTTCACCACCGGCCAGTACAATGTTCTGTTGCCCGATGGAAGGAAGCAAGTAAGCAAGAGCTGCCAATCTGAGCTGAATCAATGCTGGGGAAACAGGACAAACTGCCACTTCGAGCGTAGCTAACATGATTTTCTCTTATTCGGTTACAGATCGTTGAGTACGAGGCGGACCAACAGGGCTATCGTCCACAGATTCGTTATGAAGGTGATGCCAATGGTGGTGCAGGCGGTGCTGGCGGTCCAGGTGGTCAAGACTTGGGACAAAATGGTTACTCTAGCGGTCGTCCAGGTGGTCAGGATCTTGGACAGGGCGGTTACTCCGGCGGTCGTCCCGGCGGCCAGGATTTGGGCCAGAATGGTTACTCCGGCGGTCGTCCCGGTGGTCAGGATTTGGGTCAGAATGGTTATTCCAGCGGTCGTCCCGGTGGTCAAGACCTCGGTCAAAATGGTTATTCCGGTGGTCGTCCCGGCGGTCAGGATTTGGGTCAAAATGGTTATTCCGGTGGTCGTCCCGGCGGTCAAGAATTGGGCCAGAATGGATACTCCGGTGGTCGCCCAGGCGGTCAGGATTTAGGTCAGAATGGTTATTCCGGTGGTCGCCCCGGTGGTCAAGACCTAGGTCAGAATGGTTACTCGAGCGGACGTCCAGGCGGCAATGGTGGCTCCGACGGAGGTCGCGTAATAATCGGCGGACGAGTAATTGGCCAAGACGCTGGCGATGGCCAGGGTTACTCGAGTGGTCGACCCAATGGTCAGGATGGCGGCTTCGGCCAGGACAACGTCGATGGACGTGGTTACTCTAGTGGCAGGCCAGGCCAGGGACGCAATGGCAACGGCAGCAGCTTCGGACCCGGTGGTCAGAACGGCGACAACGATGGCAGCGGCTACAGATACTAGACGAGACAAATGAACACCGAACCAGACAAGACACACACTAGCTAGCTATTTCAGACG